CACCCGATAAATAATCAAGAACTATAAATATTACTAACAGTAATTACTCGTATTTCTATAAATAAACATCTACAAAATTGTAATTGATGGTATTACCTCGAATATTGGTATTACCATAGATTTTTGGTGCAAAATATTTTGTACTGCATTTTCTGATTTCTCCGATATGTGTGTAGGAGTCGATGGTGTCTTCTATATCGTTGATATCAGACATTTTGATAATACACTTATCTACGAAAATTTAATACGTACTGATTTTGACAACTTAAACAATTACTTAGGACATACGAAATAATCGGTTTCTAGTGAATAAAAATCTCTATCGTTATGAAAAATCTGTATCATAATGGGTAATCATTGTGAAACAGATTATGGGCATATAAGTGCATTATTATAATATGGGTGTAGAAAAATTATCATTATAATACTGAATTAGAAGTTAAAAAATAAAACATTTACGGCCAGATGAAAGAACGTTTATTAAAATGTATAAGTCTGATAAACTTTTACAGAGAGTGAGAAAGTGATATGATATAAACTTTCAAATACTCACAGTCTAATACATGTTAACAAACGTTCTTGCAACCGGCTGGTAAACTCGTAATTTAATGAGTTTTTTTCCGGCCTTTTAATGTAAAAGCTATTATAAATTTTTCAATATACTTAATTTACGTTGGGCCTTATTCTTTTTTTTAACGTTTTTCTGCATTTTTCTGTTATGCGAATTACAATATTTTAAGGAATAATATATTTTTAACCTAATAAATAATTTTAAAATATATAATACTGGAAAGAATAAACATGGATGTTGAAACTCAATATTTTTCATTTTGGTGAATAGCAAATTAGAAATTCCTATGGTAGTTGAAATTTCTTCAAACGTCGAAATAAATATTGTTTCCAATTTATATACGTACTGAACAAATTGTTCACTTGGAGTTTTAAGTTTTCCATAAATAGCAAGGTCATTATCGAAGGCTTTGAAATAAGTGAGCAAATGATGAGTGTCTAATACAGAATGTCTTGAGAAAATTGAATACAAGTGTCACATTTATGTACGTTGAGAGCCTTTTTAAGTAAATATCCACATACGTAATTAAAAGAATTTTGAATTAATAACGGTTCTTTTTTATAACATGTGTCAACAGAAAAGGCTCTGGTATTAGGTTGACCAGGCGGGCACGTATTTTTTGTTTTTAAATATTTTTGTCCTAAATTAAATAACAGTTTATCCATATCAGCAGTGCAATTCATGTTGGTAGAATGTAAATAGTGTTGACAAAACATTTTTTTAAATGCTCTTTTAAATTGAATGGGTGTAGGATTAACTGTGTTGCGACCTTGTTGTCTGATCGTACCAAAAAAAATCTCAAGACAATCCTGATTTAGTCTTCTAGTTTTAATATATTTAAAATCAGCCAGTAACAACTTATTGCAGAGCCTTTGTATTGCATTTATGGTAATAATTCAACATTTGTTGGATTTCGATTTTGAAGTAACATCCTCCCCTTTTTTATTACATATTTTAATACTGTTTATTAAAGTTTCCATTTCATTGATTATTTTATACAGAGTGATTTCAAACATGTTTTAAATATCGCTAATTTTGAGTTCAATTTACTCAATTTTTTCAAATGCAACACCCTCTGTATAAAATTCCTTATAAATTTGCCTATTACAACGATATCAACATGTTAGCCAATAACACATATCCCATCAGTGCGTAATTGATCGATAGCTGTTTTATTCTTAGAAATTTGAAAAAAAATTAATGTAAAAGTTGTATGACCATATTTAACAATTATTCTTAATATATATTCCATAAACGAGGTGCTGACCAAATCTAAATTTTTTAAAGTAAAACACCCTGCAGGTAGTTAAATATATATGATTGTTTTCACATTGTCAAACAATTTTAATTGACTTCATTCATTTGCTATGTTGTATATGGTGTATCAAAATGTGAGATACGATTTTCTCAATTTTTTTAAATGGAATAACCTATATTAATTAACTGGTGGTATAAAATATAAAAAATTAGGAACTTCATTACCTTGCATTTTGACACACCTTATATACAACATAGCAAATAAATGAAGCCCATTAAAATTGTTTGACGATATGACATATATGGCATATTTTTAAATCCATATAACATTTATTTATAACTTGTTTGCGTGTCAACAACACAAATTGAAATATTGTACAATTACGCACTAATGGGACATCCTACCATGTATAATATATTTCGAAGACAATTATGTTATTTAAAAGTGTAAAAGTATAGGACCACCATGTATAATATACAGTGTGTCCATGGATGGGGTCCCCAAGGGGGAAAAAATCTTTATTATTCATTTTACGACCAAAAGTCATTCTTTATAAAAAGTTCTGCTTGTTGAGAAAATGGAGTTGCCTTATAAAAATGTAAGATTAAATGCATGTTAATAAATTAGGAAAATATGAAAATGCTTCAAGAGGGAAGTACCATTATTTATTATTTTTAACAAAAATTTTATAAAACAAAGTTGTTTATAAACTAGCATAGAGACTAAATACAAATTTTTAAATAAAAATTCCAATATTTTAAAATAGAATATTAATAATTATTACTTTTATGTAATAATTTGCATTTTACAAAAAAATCAAGATAGCCGATTTTGTATACGTTCATGTTATGTCAGCATTTTATTTACATCTGTCAGTATTTTTGACAACTTAGTTTTATAAAATTTTTGTTAAAAATAATAAATAATGGTAAGCATTTTCATATTTTCCTAATTTATTAACACCCTGTACATTTAATCTAAAATTTTTATAAGGCAACTCCATTTTCTCAACAAGCAGAACTTTTTATAAAGAATGATTTTTGGTCGTAAAATGAATAATAAAGATTTTTTCCCCCTTGGGGACACCATCCATGGACACACCATATTTCGAAGACAATATGTCATTAGTATAGGACCAATTTTGTTTTGTTTTCCCGAAATGTAAGTAATGTTAAATATTTATTGGAAAGTAAAATATTTAAATTGGTTGATTATACAAGGATTATACTTTTATGCTTTCAATATCAGTGGAATTAATAGCTAGTTACATACCAAGTAGAAGTAGGTACGTTATACATATTCTAAGGCCTGGAGGACAGGAGCGGCCAAATCTTCAAGTGAAATCTTTTGAAACAGAGCATGCGCGAAATGTCAAACTTACTTTTAGGGGGTTTTTCAAGTTTTGATTCATTATGGGTTATGTTTTATACCTATTCTATAAGAATATTTCCAAACATTTGAAATTTCAGCTAGACAGGAGATATAATTTTAATCTTAATAAAGAATTCGGCATTTTAATATACATTTCTAAATTGTCCATAAAAAATAGGGGCGTGCGGTCCATGGAAGCGGGGGAAGCACCGGTTCCCTACTTTTTGAGATTTAAAGATAAATATTTTTCAGTTTACAATACATAAAAATTAATATTAAATTAGATACTATATTTTCTCTGAAACATTACGTAAACTTCGTAAATGTACTAACAATTCATTGGTGTAAAGTGTAAACTCACGCACCACCCATGAGAAAATTAATGGTGTAAACGCACACCACACACTATATACTTCGAGTCCGTCGGCCGAAGCCCGTCTTGAAAAAGCCGGCTCATCTTCCAATTGATTTCGCTTCGTGTTATTGACCATGATTTCCCGCGACAGTGTAGTCAGTCTGTTTGGACACCTGAAATACGGTCGAGAGGCAGCGATTTTTACGTCGCTTTACGCATATTGCAATTCGCACCGCGAATTGACTTGTCAGGAAAATCGTAGACTTCAGATAGATTTCAGTTTGTTTTTCGTAGTTGTTTTTTTTTCTTTTTGTAAAATGGAGGAACTATGCATTGTGTCTGTGAACAATTTTAATGTGGTAAATTGTGTCTGTATTGTGTGCTCTTTGTTGAAAAAAGGATTTTCAAGTAGAAATTTTGAAGAGAAAACGGACATTATTAATTCTAGTAGACTAAAGGATCTTATCAATTTAGAGACGAAAGTAGAAAAGTCAGCAAAGAAATTTACCAGGCATTTTCATGTAGGGTTCTATGAAAAGTATGAATGGTTAACCGGCTGCAAAACTTTGAAAAAATTGTTTTGCTGGCCTTGCCTACTTTTTAATATATCCGAAAAAACACATTGGAACTCAGTCGGTATTACAGACTTGAATAATTTTCGCAAAAGTGTAAAACGACATGTAAATAGCAAATCTCATATAAGTGCTACAATAAAATAAAAAACATTTGGGACCTATCGCATTGAACATAGTTTGGACAATCATTTAAAAATAAGCAACAAAATTCACAATGAAAGGGTAAAAAAAATAGGGACGTCTTAAAACGAATAATAGATGTAACTTGTTTCCTGGGAGAGCATCACGATACACAGACTAACGGTATGTTCCTGCGCATGCAGCTGACTGACGGTGACGTCACGTGGGACATATAATTATAAGCATTAAATGGGAGATAGTGTTTAAAATTCGATATTTTGCCAATTTTAGATTTTATGCAGTTACTTAAGCGATATTGGTTATTTTGTAATATATTCGTTTACAAATATGAAGGTTAAAGGTAAATAATACTAATAAAAATATTAATTATAGGTATTTTGTGACAAAATCTATAACATGGCCATAAGATAAGTATAAAACTTCCTGCATAATTACAAATCGTGTCAGTTTGACAGAATAACCCTCCCGCTTCGCGGTCGGATTATTTAAACTGTCAAACTGATACTCTTTATAATTATGCAACAAGTTATCGATGTATAACCTGATTATTTTGAAGTACTTATAGTATTACTACTGATTATACGCCGAAATTTTTGATAATATTTTACAACTAATGAACACTCGATTTCAAAAATTAACGAATTAAAGTTGAATTGTGCAATTTTAATATTAGTAACTACGATTCATCAAAATTTCCATCGGAAGCTTTTAATTCACTAAAATTAAATTATGGGAATTTTTTTCGATATTCCAGCATTAAAGTCCCAGTTAAGTGTTGTTTATGAAACAATTGAAATTAGTGATATAGAGACGCCCATCAATGGGTTAAATTTTCTTATAACAACTGGTTTAAATAAGTCCCTTTGTGAAGTCGTCAAGTTGTGTGAATTAAGTACTAATGGTTCGTACAACCATCCTAGCCACAAGTGCGTCAGTTGAGCGAAGTTTTTCAGCTTCAAAGCGCATTAAAAGTTTTATACGAAATTCAACAAGTGAAGACAGACTCTCTAATTTAGTCCTAATATCCATTGAAAAACAGCTTGTTAAACAGTTATCAGAAAATCTAAAATTATACGACGATGTTATAGACAAATTTGCAGCCATTGAGGATAGGCGAATAGATCTTAAGTTTAAATAAATGTCAACTGCTGTGTCAACTGTGCGAAAAATGCTGGAAAAAATAAAAAAAAACTTTAGTTAAATGTCTTTTTTACATTTAAATAAACCAAGGAAGCTTTTCAATGGTAAGTTTTTTTATAGCTTCTAGTACTAAACTAGGTAATAAAGTAATAGTAACACATCAAAAATCTCAATCTCGAATATCCGTAGTACTGAGGAAAAAAAGAAGCAAGATTTTGAAAAAATGGTGAATGCGCCGCGAAAAATTTTCGTCTGCGGCGCTGTGCTTACTGGCCTGCTGTATTTTTATACAATCGCTTCCCCTTCCAAAAATGTTACCGCACGCCACTGATAAAAATATATTTTTGCGATGATGTCTGTATCCACAAGATCTCAAAAATGGATAAAGAGAAAAACACACAATTTATACTTAAGCTTTAGATGTCATTCTTAATAATGTTTGCAATATTTTACACGATTTCTCTAAAATGGATCATAATAAATTGTTTTTTTTTTCTCTATTTTTGTGACAGATATGAAAAAATGTTTCGAATAATATGAGTATAGAAAATATTTATTCTTAATTAATTTTCTAAAACATTTTTTGATTAGATGGGTCGTACTCAATATATTTTGATAACTTTAAAGGAAAGTCATATTGTGGCCACATTGTTTTTGTATTGACAATATAGGTATTCGTACATATTATATCTGTATAAAAACGTTTTAGAAACAATATTATAAAAGGGATTAGGAAATAAAACTAATATAATAATTATAATTTAATATTTTGTTTCATTAAAAATAAATCAAATATTGCACATACATAATAATACGAGTAGGTATAATAAAAATCAATATATCAAGCAAAAGCTATCAACAAACACCTAATGAACTAAAATAAGTTTAAAGATATACCTAATATCTTCGTTAAAGAAGTGACACCTCGTATTTACTTATGAATAATTATTCAACAGATACCAGGTATCACATTTTCAACGGCAATATACTATCTGAACCTAATATGGATAAATGAATAAAATATAGTTTTTGTAATGTATACAAAAATTACATTTTTTTTTTAAATTCACACAAATTCTGCCAAATTAGACATCTTATCTCAATACTCAATACAAAACTGATACTAAAAGATGTAGAAGAAATAGGCAAAATAAAACCCACTCGTGTACGTACCAAGCTTTTAGATAAATATTTTTAAATTTACCACATTAATAATATATGTTTTAAGAGTGCTGTATTACATTAATATTATCTTTGGGTGTCATTATAAATATTTTCTTAATAAATCTGTAAAGGATATTATATCATTGATCTTCCAAAATCCTAAAATTTCAATAATATATAATGTGTACAAATCATGTTTTATTTAAAATCTTTTCACTGGATAGTTTGTGTTTAATTTGATCCCGTATCTGCAGCTTCAGATATAATTGTAACTTATGTTTATAACGAGTTTAAAAATAAATATTACATTTTACAGCTGCACTTTTTGTTAAAACAATTAAACTTGTGCAATTTCTTTGTAATTTCCAAGAGCCCTGAATACCTAAAAAATACATTAATTTTACTATTATAAATGGTGACTAAAAAGTACCTAATATAGATATACATTGAGCTTTGACTTACCACTTCTAAAACGAATAAAAAGATTATGTTTCTTTATCTTGAATATATGAATTGTTTTTCCAATGTAGCTATTGCTATTTTAAATTCAAAAGATCAATACATTTAGTTTTGTATTTATTTATATTGAAACGAGTTGCATCGTTTTGTATAATATTATGGATATTTTCCATAAAAATATGTCTACATTTTTGTTTATTTTATATGATTTGATGAAAAATGAAATAGGCTTGCACAAAAACATCTCAAAACTGTCAAAAGTCGAATCCATGTAAAATTTAGCCGCTCCTCTGGAGACATGATATAGTCTTTGGCCCGAAGGATGGATGTCGGCCATACAATATTAAATTTATCAATAGAAACATTTATTTTTTTTTTGTAATGCATTTCTTCTAATAGGTAAGGGGTCGTTAATACTTTGACATTTATTGATTCTATTTCGAAACGATATGTGCACTACTTTTACTCTCTATTTCGGAAACGAGTAACATTTTTACATATGCCTGTTTCTTTCAATCGTCCTATTTTTAATCAGAACATTATTAGTTTTTTATGTCCCATTCTGAATGGGACACTGTATCTTTTTCTTTTTCATAGTGGTATTTCATACTGCAATTATGTGTTTCATACAGTGTTATTTCTGAAACGATAGTGGTATAAAATTATTGTTCGCGTCTGTAATCAAAATTGTTTAGATCTCTTAACATTTTTGGACTATATGGAAACTCGACTTTACAACACAATAAATACAGGGTGATTTTTTGAAAAGGATCCACCCTCGATAACTTCGTTCTCGTCTTGATTCAGGTAAAATCCAAAAACAGGTCAATTTTTATCCTTAGGGGGACACATTTTTAGATCAAAACTGATTTTGTCGGATCAACCCCATGGCCCCACCAGCCCCCACCTCAAAAACCTTCAATAGCAAGGGGGGCCGAGTGACCCCTCGTTGGAAAGGTTTTTGCATTTACTATATAACCATGTAAGAATTATTTCGTTTTGTACAGGGTGGTTCAAGAAAAAGACAAATTGCAATAAATAGATTTACATTTCGCTTTAATTGGTTAATTTTTGGAATAAAACTCGTATTAATTGTTTACAAAACGAGAAGAAACGGATTAGAGTGAAAGGAAGCAAAATCACAACAAGCGCTCAAAATGATCACCGTTATTCTCCATGCAGTAGTAAAGGCGGTTTTCAAATTCCTCTCTCACCCGTTGAAAGGTTTCTCTAGGGTTTCTTCTGCATGCGTCAGTTATTCGTTGTCGCAACTCCACTAAATCTGCTGGTTGAGTTTTGAATACAACAGATTTTAGGTGCCCCCAGAGGAAAAAATCTGGTCCTGTTAAATCTGGTGACCGTGGAGGCCATTCTATTGCTCCCCGCCTGCCAATCCAATGATGCGGAAATCTCTGATTCAGCCAGTTCCGAACAGTCACAGCGAAGTGAGGTGGGGCTCCATCTTGCTGAAAAAAAAAGCTCATTTTCTTCAAATACAAGATTTCCATCTTGATCCCGCTGATTTTCAACTTCAACCGTTATCAAGGGATCTATGATATCCTCCAGCAGCTCTAAACATACCTCGCCAGTCAAAGTCTCATTAATGAAAATCGGACCGACTACCGCATCGCCTAGTATTCCTGCCCATACATTTAATTTCTGAGGAGCTTGAGTATGCCCCTCTCTAAAAATGTGAGGATTCTCATTACTCCAATATTGGAGATTCTGTTTATTGACTGCGCCATGCAGATAAAAACTACATTCGTCACTAAAGCAAATGTTTTTATGAGGTTTGGGTTTGCGTTTATCATTTCCGTCATAATTTCGCAAAACTGTAATCTCCTATCAGGATCATCGTCCACAAGTTGTTGAAGTATCTTCATTTTATAGGGATGGAATTTAAAAAGTTTTGTCACTTTGCGTACCGATGAATACGAAAGTCCAGTGGTCGTAGCAATCTGACCCAAAGAACTGGTTGGATCAAAAGTAAAGTTCCCCACCACTTCAATCTGAGCCATTTCATTAACTATTCTGTTACCTTCTCTCTTCATATTTTTCACCGATCATACCAACTGACTGAAAACTACTTGGATTAAATCTAATCCGTCAAAACGGCTTGTAAAGATGCGCAAAAATTGCAGATAAAAATGCATACAAAAAGAGCGATAGCGCGATATCACTCATCAACCGTCTTCAAAAACTGAAGCAAAAAATTTAAGTGAATTTACGACAGGAGATAAATTGTTGAATGAGGAAGGATTCCTATTATTCTCAACGGTGGTCATTTTAAGAATCTATTATGATGTAATTTAAGTCTATTGCAATTTGTCTTTTTTCTTGAACCACCCAGTAAAAAACGAAATAATTCTTACATGTTAAATGCAAAAACCTTTCCAACGAGGGGTCACTCGGCCCCCCTTGCTATTGAAGGTTTTTGAGGTGGGGGCTGGTGGGGCCATGGGGTTGATCCGACAAAATCTAAAAATGTGTCCCCTAAGGATAAAAATTGACCTGTTTTTGGATTTTACCTGAATCAAGACGAGAACGAAGTTATCGAGGGTGGATCCTTTTCAAAAAATCACCCTGTATGTAAGCAGTTATGGCGCTTAATCAATGCCTTTAATTCGCCAAAAAATTACGAAAGTTTCTGTGATGCAAAACACGATTGCTCCCATCTTATACTTATTAATTATTTTAATAGCTATTTATGCATCCAGTTACAAAATGTCTTATTTTATGTAACGTGTGAATATATGCGAGACGAGCAGAGCGGTCCCGCAACATGAACAAGTTACACAAAACTGCATTTCGTAAATATTTTTTTCTAATTTTGACTAGATTATTTATAAAATTGTGTTCTGTTAAAAAAATTTTAACATCTATGCAACCAATATTACTTTCTTGTATCGTTGGTTGCATATGCATAACATTTTATTGACAAATAGAAAATCATATTCATTTTTTCTCAACGACTTGTTGTAGTTGCTTGTTAAAGTTATTTAGTTTTCAAGAAAGTGGATTATTTTGTTGTGTACAGGGCCGACGAAAGGGGGGGGGGGTGGGACTGGTGGGACAAATTCCTGGGGCTCGGGCACAAGGAGGGACTCGGCAGCGGCACAAGGGGGGCCCGGCAGCTTTAGGTGAGGAGGTTTTATTTTTTTAG